ATAAGAAAAAGGACAATCCCAAGAAACCTCTGACTGCTTGTAGTACCCCTACAAGGGCGTTACAACAGACTGAGAGACCTTGGAAGTTAAGAAGAGCTTTAGCAAGGAAGGAACTGAAGATAGAAGTTGCTTCTGAAGAAGAGAGTTGCCTCATTCTGTTTCTGTAATCATGGACTTCAGCTGCTGTCATTAGAATAACTTTTGCTCCCATCAGTAATCATAAAACTAGTTGCCGTCATGTCAGTTCTGACTCATGGTGACCCCATGTGTGTCAGAGTAAAAACTGTGCTTCATAGGGTTTTCGACGGCTGATGTTTCGATAGTAGATCACCAGGCCTTTCTTAGTTAGCAGCCAAGCACATGGACTTCTTGATAATCATAGCTAATCCTCATCGAGTGACTTTTTTATTGCAAGAACCTGAGAGATTGTCTAGCCCATGTCTTTTTTATAGACAAGAAGATTCTGGGCACACAGGCAGCTCTTTATTGCAGAGCTGGGATAAAGTCCTGGACTCCTGACTCCTAGCTAGGGTTCTCCTAGACTACCTATGTAATTGTGGTAAGTTGTAAAAGCTGGACGTGTAGTAGGTAGAGATTTTATCTTATGGAAGGAAAAGAAGTTAGACCATTATTTTCCTCCTTTTTGGAGTGTAATTGCTCTTTCCAAAGACGTTGAGATAGTTGTACAAAGTGAATAATAAATGGTGATTTGTCCTCCGTATGCACTCTCCTGCTGCTTCCTTGGCTATGTCGTTGGTGTTCTTAGATGACCTGTAGCAATTAGGGTATCTTGGGTGGGGGTAATGATGGCAATTATGAAGTTAGAGAAGTCGAGCTGGTCCCAGGCAGCTCTGCTGCAGTTTGACCACCCTGGTGGGGTGAAGCACTCAATTTACGGTTAATCCTAAATCATCATGTTTCAATACCTCTCCGCCGTTGCGTACCCATGTGCTGAGTATGGTGAGAGTTTGAATCTGGATCCAGCTGTTTATAGAACTTAGAGTATAATATGCACATAATTCATCCATTTGTTTATTTAGCAAATGTTTATTGAGTCTCTAGTATGGTACCAGGCACTGTTCTACATACTGGGGATGTAGCACTTGAACAGAACCAAGAACGTTCCTGCCAACTTGCCCTTTACATTGTAGCAGGGGAGACAGACTAAACAAAACGATAGAATGTGAAGTGGTGATACTGCTGGAGGGGGGCTAGAGAATCCAGGAGTTGGAGTGGGGTGTTGTGGTTTGAGATGGGGGCGAGTCGGGGACAGCCTCGGTGGCAGGTGACAACCTGCAGGAGATTGGGGGGGGGGCATCGTTTCCATAGAGCCAACAGGAAGGAGCATGCCTGGGGTGCAGAGTCCGTGACGGAGCAGCCATGCCTGATGGGGTTGGAGACAATCCACAGCAAGGACTGTTGGCTTCTAACTGATACGTGAGCCACTGGAGGGCCCCAGAGGAGTGACGTGATCCGACTTAGGTTTTTGATTCTTCTTGCCCAGTTGACTTTCCCAAAAGTTGTCCTGATGTGTGTTGTCATTAACAGAATATGAAGGGATCTATTTTTTTACTCTCAGAACCCAGGGTATTATTAAAAGTTGTTAATTTTCACCCATTTGATAGGTGAAAAATAATACTTTAATTTGCATTTCTTTAATTTTGTAGTGGGGTTTTCTGTTTATGCTATGTTCGTGAACTGCCTTTTCATGTTCTTTGCCTATTGTTTTCGAGTATTTTTTCTTATTAATTTTCTAGAGCCTTTTTCTATTTTAATGAAATAGCAGTTATTTTTCCACTGTGTTTCAACTTTATTTATGACCATTTCTTTTTCCTGTACTGAAGTTAAATTTTTATGTATATTTATCTCTCTTTTCCTTTTATTGCTTCTAGGTTTTGGGTAATACTTAGAAAGGCCTTACTCATTCCAAGGTACATCTTTTTAAACCACTGTTTTTTTTCTGGAGCTGTAATGGTTTTATTGATTTAACTTTTTATTCCATCTGAGATTTATTTGGCATAAAGAATGATGCGTAGGGATTGGATTTTCTTTCTCCAGTTGGCTAGCTGATTGTCTCAGTCCTGCTTGCTGGTTTGGAATGCTGCCTTGATTTCATTCCAGGTTCCCACTTGGGGCTAGCATCCACTTCAACTGAAAAATAACTTACTTATCAGGATTTTCCAGGGAGAATTGGTGAACAGGTATTGATTGAGCATCTTCTATTGTTCCATTGCTTTTCTCTGAGTATGTTCAGGAGAATTACCAGCCAGAGTTAGGCTATCAGAGTAATGAAGATGGAGGGAGGGTTAAATAAGCTCCAGACTACTGTGCTGGGTGTGATGAGATGGATTTAAGGACAGTAGGACAGGGTTTCTAATTGCAAGGAGTTTGCAGTGGAGTTGGAAACCAACAACCCCATTGCTGTAGAGTCGATTCTGACTCACAGCGACCCTACAGGACAGGGTAGAACTGCCCCATAGGGTGTCCAAGGCTGTAAATCTTTATAGAAGCAGACTGCCACATGTTTTTCCTGTGGAGCAGCTGGTGGGTTCAAACCACCGACCTTTTGGTTAGCAGCCGTCAGTAAACAAGGTAGGAGTGTGTATGTCAGTGTCATCTGCTCAGGTAATAAAACATTAACTTATATGGGATAAGCCATTCAAAAATAAATTTGCTGATTGTGTAATATACAGAAAAAAATGCGAAAAATCTTTGGAAAAGGGAGTGTTGGGTGGAGTATTGGGAATGGGAGAGTAGCCACCTCATTTGTTATATTTCTGTTATATTTTTGTTCCTAAAGCTGGTTTAAATAGGCCTCTTGCCCTAGTCTCGCCTTTTGATACATTAAAAGTACTTGCTGATTCTCTGCCTTTTTGTGTGAAATATAAAACTTGTCGAATTCAAATATGTCTGTGCAGTGGTGCTGTACTTTTATTTACTGATAGGATATTTTAGCTGTTAGGTAAATAAATAACTTTGCTAGCCCTCTAAAGACTTCATTTGAGGCTGGTCTTGATGTGTTGTGGTGTATATATTAATACAAATGTAATAATACCACCTCAGCATACATTTGTGTTAGTATATACACTATAACAACACATCAAGACCAGTCACAAATGAAGTCTTTAGTGGCATTTCTCAAGGTGCAAGAACTGAAGAAAAATTCAAGCCTCGAGTTGCAATATTGAAGGATTCGTATGGGGAAAATACTGAACGACGCAGGAAGCATCAAAAGAAGATGGAAGGAATACACAGAGTCACTGTACCAAAAAGAATTGGTCGATGTTCAGCCATTTCAGGAGGTAGCATATGATAAAGAACCGATGCTACTGAAGGAAGAAGTCCAAGCTTCCCTGAAGGCGTTGGCGGAAAACAAGCCTCCCGGAATTGACGGAAACCAGTTGAGATATTTCAACAAATGGATGCAACGCTGGAAGTACTTACTTGTCTATGCCAAGAAATTTAGAAGACAGCCACCTGGCCAACCAACTGGAAGAGATCCATATTTGTGCCCATTCCAAAGAAAGGTGATCTACCAGAATGCAGAAATTATCCAACAGTATCAGTAATATTACACGTAAATAAAGTGTTGCTGAAGATAATTAAAAAACAGCTGCAGCATTACATTGACAGGGAATTGCCAGAGATTCAAGCTGGATTCAGAAGAGGATGTGGAATGGGGGATATCATGGCTGATGTCAGATGTATCTTGGCTGAAAGCAGAGAATGCTAGAAAGATGTTTACCTGTGTTTTATTGACTATGCAAAGACATTCAGCTGTGTGGATCATAACAAATTATGGAAGACATTGCGAAGAATGGGAATTCCAGAACACTTAATTGTGCTCATGCGGAACCTGTACGTAGACCAAGGGGCAGTCATTTGAACAGAGCAAGGAGATACTGCATGGTTTAAAATCAGAAATGGTGTGCATCAAGGTTGTATCCTTTCATCAGGCTTGTTCAATCTATATACTGAGAAATAATACAAGAAGCTGGACTATATGAAGAGGAGTGCGGCATCAGGATTGGAGGAAGACTCATTAACAACCTGCATTATGCAGATGACACAACCTTGCTTGCTGAGAGTGAAGAGGACTTGAAGCACTTACTGATGAAGATCAAAGACTACAGCCTTCAGTATAGATTACACCTCAACATAAAACAAAAATCCTCACAACTGGACCAACAAGCAACGTCATGATAAATGGAGAAAAGATTGAAGTTGTCAAGGATTTCGTTTTACTTGGCTCCACAGTCCACGCCCATGGAAGCAGCAGTCAAGAAATCAAATGACATATTTCAAGTGTTAAAAAGCAAAGATACCGCTTTGAGGACTAAGGTACACCTGACCCAAGCCACGGTATTTTCAGTCATCTCGTATGCATGCAAAAGCTGGACAATGAATAAGGGAGACTGAAGAAGAATTGATGCCTTTAAATTATGGTGTTGGTGAAGAATATTGACTATACTGTGGACTGTCAGAAGAGTGAACAAATCTGTCTTGGAAAAAGTACAGCCAGAATGCTTTTTGGAAGCAAGAATGGTGAGACTTCATCTCATGTACTTTGGACATGTTATCAGGAGGGACCAGTCCCTGGAGAAGGATATCATGCTTGGTAAAGTAGAGGGTCAGTGAAAAAGAGGAAGACCCTCAGTGAGATGGATTGACACAGTAGCTGCAATAATGGGCTCAAACATAGCAGCGATTGTGAGGATGGCACAGGACCGGGCCATGTTCCGTTCTGTTGTGCATACGGTCGCTATGAGTCGGAACGAAGTCGACAGCACCTGACAACAACAGTGCTGAGGTGATTCATTGGTAGGACTGAGACCAGAATCTTGTCTCTGTGTTTTAGCTCGGTGGTCTTAGACTAAGCTACTCCTAAGTTATGTTCTCTCATGATAGGAACCAACAGTATGGTATGTTGTTCTTCATGTAATGTACACACATGAGTGTCCCCAGGGTTTGACTTTAATTCCTTGGAGTTTCCCTTCTAGGACTGGATGGACACTGGCCCAGAACAAGCTATTCAACAAGATCCTCAAAGCCTTGCAGTCTGACCGGCTTGCTCGCTTGGCCAACGAAGGGGTAAGATGCTAGCAGTCTGTCCAGGGTGGGTTCTTCCTAGTTTAACCCTTGCTATCTGACTGACTTGCTACCTCCTTCCTCATTGCTAACAAGGTGGCCTTCATGTTGTATCAATTCTACTCACATCTTTCAGGCTTGCAATGAGCCAGTGCTTCGCCGTGTTGCCGTGGACAAGTGTGCAAGGAGAGTGCGCCAGGCTCTGGCAAGCGTGAGCTGGGACACCAAGCTGATCCAGTGGCTGCACACCACCCTAGTAGAGACCTTGAGTTTGCCCATGCTGGCTGCCTACCTGGATGCTTTGCAGACACTGAAAGGGAAGGTAAGGCTATGATTGGTGTCTTCCCTGCCCCTGCGAGTAGCCAGCCTCTGCCTGTGGGATCAGGTTGTGGGATGGGCAAGGTTGTTGCCTGGTCAGACTGGAGGGCATGACTGAAGCTCACAGGTCAGCTATTAAAAATAGGAGACAAGGCGTCATTTCATGTTTGCTTCTGGTGTAGATGTCTTCAGCCCGCTGTCTCCAGGATGAGGTGTGGCACGTGAAAACCTTCAGCTTGTGGTTGAGTCATCTCTGAGGTGAGGTGATGGAGAGGAAACTGAATTATCACGGAGGAGATGACAGGCTTAGCAGGGAGGAGTGTTGAGAAGGGGGCAGGACTCATGGTGCGCAGGGTTCTGGGGGTTGGAGCAGGGACGTGCAGTGAAGCCTCAGTCTCTGCTCATCGTGGGATGAGCTTCAGTGGCAACAGTTGGTTTTAATCGTTTTTGGCAGGCTTCTTTGTAAAACGTATTATTACGTTTTCTTGCTTAGACAATACTGCACAAAGCTGAACCGTTTTTCTTTATGATTTTAGTTGTTGTACTAGGCTATATATGGTGTGGTCAATAATTATACCTACCTAGGATTTTTATAAAAATTAGATAATTTGTATAAAATGCTTGGCACAGAATTTGGCACACAGCTCACAGGAACTGTTGATGATTGTTTAATACAATAGTACTCCTATAAGTTCTTGAAATATTTGAGTGTTTTGCTCAATACAGAATGGCCTCAGACAACTTGGATCAATTCAGTTCTTGACTTTTTTTTTTTTTTTATAATAACGTTTCTTCGTTGCAGGAAGCTTACTAATATAATTTGCCTGGCTCATAGCTTCCTCTTAGCCACACTCAGAATTCTCTCAGATTCATTGTTTCTTACCTGTTTTGAGATGGGAAACTGGATTATTTCGAGTTGTTGTTGTCAGTGCTGTCGAGCCAGTTCTGACTCGTAGTGACCCTACGTACAACAGAACCAAACACTGCCTGGTCCCGCGCCGTGCCGACAATCCTTGTGATGCTTGAGCCCATTGTTGCAGCCATTGTGTCAATCCATCTTGTTAAGGGTCTTCCACTTTTTCACTCACCTTCTACTTTACCAAGCATGAAGTCCTCCAGGGAACGGTCCCTACTGATAACATGTCCAAAGTAAGTGAGATGAAGTCTCGCCATCCTTGCTTCTAAGGAGCATTCTGGTTCTACTTCTTTCAAGACAGATTTGTTCATTCTTCTGGCAGTCCATGGTACATTCAGCATACCTCGCCAATGCCGTAATTCAAAGGTGTCAATCCTTTTTCGGTCCTCCTTATTCATTGGCCAGCTTTCGCATGCATGTGATGCGATTTCTGGTAGTTTCTATGGAGCATTTGCTCTGTGTGCCAGGCAGGTAGCTCATTTCACACTCATAGCAACCCTCTGGAAGACCATTATTGCCTTGTTCTTTTTAGTAAATGAGGTGACTGAGGCTCAGAAGAGATCAAGTACCTTGTGGAAGCGTTTGATGGCATGCTTTCTAAAGTAAAAACAGACAAATCAGTACTTTGTAGTGGTTGGCACTTCCATTTTGGCTGCCCATGGCCTTCTTGGCTTCCTTCCTGGTGCTGAGTAAGTGGCCTTTGCGTTAGGTGAATAAGTGACCGCTGCCCAGGCAGCGTTTTTGGAGGCAGAGGATTATGCTTCCATTTTGATCCTTGGACTTTGGGGTTGAAGCCTTTGTTAGCACCCTGATGTCCAGTAACAACCATTGTGAAGGTGGCGCAGGACCGGGCAGTATTTCATTCTTTTGTACACAGGGTCGTTGACTCGATGGCACCTAACAGCAACAATGTCCAGATGTTTTACCCAGCTGAAAACACGTTAGAGAGAACCTTTGATTTTTTTTTCCCTTAAAATGAAAACTAGAGTCCCTGGGTGGTGCGGACGGTTAAGCGCTTGACTACTAGCCGCAAGGTTGGCGGTTTGAACCCTCCCAGGGGAACCTTGGGAGACAGGTCTGGCGATCTGCTCCAAAACGTCACAGCCTCGAAAACCTTATGGAGCAGTTCTGCTCTGCACTCATGGGGTCGCCACGAGTTGGAATTGACTTGATGGCAACCACCAACAACAAAATGAAAACATCTTTATTGCTGTTTTCGATTACGAAGGTAACATGCTCATTGTAAAAATGCTACATAAATATACAAAGAAGATAATGAAAATCAATGGAAAGCCCATCACCTAGACATAAAATGATTGCTCGTATACATTCAGATATGTATAGATAGTTTTGCATAAATAGGATCGTATAATGCATACCATTTTATTACGTGCTTTATTTATTCAGTAAATATAAATGTATGGACATCACCACATTTGATGGCTGCTCCATTGTTGGATGTACCATAATTTATTTACCTAATTCCCTGAGGATATTTATATTGTTTGAAGTTTTTTATTATTGCAAACAGCCCTATGATAAGTAAGCATAATTTTTTACTTGTCTTAATAACTTAGGATAAATTCCTAGAAGTAGAATTGTTAGGTAAAGACGTTCGCACTTCTGGAGTATTGGTAACAGGTTATCAGGCTGCTTCCTGGAGAGAAGAGGCTGCACCAGTCTATGCTGTCACCAGTCTGTGAGTGCCCGTGGCCGCACGTGCCCGGCACCTCTTCTTGATGTTTGCCAGTATGACCTGCCTTATAGCAGACACTCATAAGTGACATGATAGATGATAGAACATCTGTCTTACTTTGCTCTTTATTTTTTTATGTTTAATGAGGCTAAATGTCTGTGTTGAGGTCTTTCTGCGTTTAGTCTCTGTTTCTCATCATTTCTCACTCGTGTGATTTCTTTACCTTCCTGCGGCTTCCAGAGTTGGCATTCTGTAATTCTGCTCACCTCGCCCTGTCGTGTGTGTTAAGATCCCTGTAGATGGGAGAACCACCAGAGTGGAGCCCACCTTAAATTCTAATCTGCTTTATAGCGATAGAGTCAAGATGAGGCCCTTCCCCGGGGTGCGGCGTTTTCTGTCATAGGATCTGAGGTTAGAGTGGGGAGGGTCATGGTTAATATATCCAGTTCATCTGTCTAACAGGTCTTTTTGGTGAAGAGAAGGAAGATTGGTGAAGCCCTGAGGCCACTGTGAATATAAAGAAATTTCTGTGGGGACAATGGGGAAAGGTCTGTGCATGCCAGCCCCACCCCCACCCCCGGTTGGTGAACTTTGTGTTTGGAAGGCTGGAGCCAAACTAAAATTTTACTAATTAACCGAGTGTTGTGGTACTCATCAGAGCCCTGGTGGTGCAGTGGTTAAGAGCCCAGCTGCTACCCAAAAGGTTGGCAGTTGGAATCCCCCCGCTGCTCCTCGGAAACCCTGTGGGGCAGTCCTGCTCTGTCCTGTAGGGCCGCCATGAGCCGGCATCGGCTTGACGACGGCGTGTGTGGTTCCTTTGGTAGTACTCATCGACTGACTCACGGGATGGAGTGGTGATGAGTCATGGTGATATTTTTAAGTTGAAAGATCCTGAGTTTGTCAGAGAGCAACAGAAGACTGGTTCAGTGTGGAAGTAAAACAAAACTCAGGACCAGATACATTAATGGATAAGGACCAGATCAATTGCTAATGGCAGGAAGTTTGTTGTTAATTTATGCATTCAGCATATGTTTATTTTGTGCCTAGAACATGCCCAGCTGGGGTGGACAGAACAGAAATGCCCCCTTCCCTTGTGGTGCCCGTTTTCTAGTCAGGAAGGGAACATGAAAAGACAGTCACAGACATCCCCCGTGCTGCTCCTTTGCCGTAGAAGACCTGGGCCATCTCGCGCAGCGAGGCCCCTGAGCTCTGGGGGAGGAAGGAGCAGCGTGGACACAGGTGAGGGGGTGTGGGTCAGGACAAGCCCCGGGGGCAGAGAAGGTGGCCCATGAGTACTGTAAGTGTTTTTAGATACGTCCTCCACAGCACCCTCCCTGTGGTCGAAGTAAAGCGTTGGTGAGTGTACTCGGGGCTGAGTGTTGGACGTGCCCCGGGTCTCACTTCTCTGGTGGCTCTGCCTCACTCTGCTGTGGCCCGTGTGACGTGGGTGGAGCTTTCCTCTCCGTCAGAGTTACTGTCAGGATGCGTCCCGTGGGAGTGCGGTTCAGCTTTATGAACGTGACAGACCACGGAGGGGGCTGGACAGGTGTGCACATGATGTGCTCCTCAGCCGTGCTGCTGGGGTGTAGCGCGGGCTAGCTGGGATGGCAGGGGACGCGCCAGCTGCCAGTCAGCACCGGCCTCAGGCTGAGGGGCGCTGTCCTCTCTGGGCTGCGCTCTCTACAGTGGCTCTGCCGTAGACTTTGATTTCCTATACTGGTGTTTACTTCACAACCAATACTCTGGTTGTTTTCCAAAGGATATAAATGACGGCGAGATTATTTTATTTTTAAAGTGCCATGCTCTTGGCACGGTGGGTGTTAACCATTAGGTGGTTGTAAAGCTGCAGAGAAGGTGCAGACCCTGGCCTCTTGGTAGTTGAGTGAGGTGCAGTGCTGGGAAGCCAGGGAAGCTGGGTCTTCCCAGTTCCAAGTGGAGAAGCCAGTTACTGATTGATTATTTGTGATTATTTTATGTTGACAGCGGGTTTCAAGGCTTTATGGTGCCAGATGGAGCTTTCTAACTCAGATCAGACTCTCTGTGAATCTGCCTCAAGTCTTGGGTGGTTCACAGTTACGGAGTAAGTTACGTAGAAATGGCCAGTTCGTGGCTGAAGGTTCTTCGCAATTTGCCCCTAGCTTTTGTTACCAGCTTTAGGCTCACCTACTTCCTTACTCGAATCCTTGACCTCAGCCCGTCTGTGCCTAGAATAAGCCCTGTGTGTTCTTGCCTCTTGCTGGTGTCTCTGACTGGGAAGTCTCTCTCCCATCTTCTTCTGTTGGAATCCTCCTGCCTGTTTCTTCAGAGCCTGTCTCACGTCAAGGGCTGCATCTTCAGGTGTAAATTGCCCCTTACACTTCCCCGTTCTCCACTAGATGGTTGGAATCGTGGCCTGATGGCTTCTCTTCTTTCGTGACACTTAACCACTCCCCCTCCCCTTTTTGTTCTGTGTTTGTCTCTGGTACCCCTTTGTAGATTAGACTCCGCAGTGCCAGCCTGGTGCCTGTAACAGCAGCTCCTACATAAGTATTTGTTCCTGAGATGAACTGAGAGAGCCTCACGGTTCTATCGCCTGTTTGCTCATGCAGAAATATTTTTCATCTCTCTCCTTTTAAAATTAACAACACTGTCCGTGTCATTGCCTAGGGCAGCTTCTGCTCTTGCCTTTCAGGATTCACAACCTGCATCAACCATAGTACTTTTTATTCTCCAGTTTCTCAAGAACTTTTTTTTGTTTTTCTAAAAACTCCCCGTAACATGTTTTAATCTTTCTTCCTCCGTGAGTAGAGTGTGGAATTGATACGAATATTTCTTCTCAGTGTAAGCATCAGCATTCTGAACCTTATATTTACATATCTGTAAGGTCACCTTTTTGGTAGACAGTGAAAAATGGGTTAGAGTATAAATCACAATATACACAATATAGTAGGAAAGATCTTTTGGACCCAGAAAGAGATTTCTTTAATGTGCCACAGCCTGAAGGCAGTAGTTTTAGAAAAAAATGCCGAATTTTTCATTGAGGAAATTTAGAAGATCCAGAAACCTTTAAGGGAAAGCGTCACTCCTAACTCCATAGAAAATTACTCTTACCGTTTGGGCATATTTTCTTGTAGTTTTTTCTTTCTGAGTAGAGATAATTTTTATATTTTCTGTTTTACCTTTAACGTTTTAACAAATTAATTCTCTCTGTTATATAAATTATTGTAAATATTTGAAACTAATCCTTAATATGTAGGTTATATGGGTGATTTGTTTAATCATTCCCTTACTATATACTCTAGATGTTTTCACTTTTTGATTGTTGTCGAGAGTAAATTTGTCTCTGTACACAAGGTTTTTTGTCCCCCCTTTTGCCATTTCTGATGCATTTTCTTAGGGAAGGTTTTCAGAAGTGAATGCTTTGGGAAAGGGGTAGGAATAAATTGAGGCCTGTCGATGCACATCACCAGATTGTTTCCCAAAGGATTGCACCCGTTTTCCTTCAGCGGCAGGAGGCGTACGGTCAGCCGTCTGTTTATTTGTATCTTGCTCTTGAGGAATAC